ACGACCTTTGTAATTTGCGGAATGTGATCCTAAGCAATTAGCGCAGACTGTAGTTGATTCAGACGGCTTTTTGCAAGCTTTAGTACAGTGATCATCTCCACACTTAACACATACAAACGGACGATTGCAATATGACCTAGTGTGGCCATACAATTGACAACGTCCACATTGCGGAATATCATTTGATCTAATAGGAGGTTCAAAATAGATTATTTGGTTCAGAATTTTTCCGATTTTAAAAATTTCGGTGTTGTTTTTGTTAGGTTCTAAATCTATGTAGAACATGTTAAGTGGAGTCTTTGTCCTAAAATGTAGAACACATTTTTTTATATTCCTTACTTGGTGACCTTGTTTTTCGATTTCTTTCTTTAGCTCACTAACGTCAGTTTTGAAGTGCATATATTTTAAAACTACTCTATAGGCTCTTTCAGTCTGTATTTGGTACGTGTGAAACACTATATTGCGAGCTAGAAGAAATTTGACAAAAATTCTATAATCTTCGATTGTCGCTCAATCTTATGCTATTATTAGACATAGCTTTAGTTGTATAGTTGCTGCTCAAAACGGTTTTTAAAGCGTTTATCATATCTGGAAAATCAATGACTTCATAAATAAATACTGGAAGTGGATGTATTTTTTTAACTGGATCAGCAACTGTAACGGGTATTGGCTCGTGATTAGTTAATAAGCTAAATCTGTTGACTAATTTAATTGATTCATTTTGATTGTTGAGACGCTTTCTTTTTACACCCGGGCTTGGGACCACTTGCCACGGATTCAAATTTTTAACAACACTACTGGGTTCACTTTCGGTTTCCATATTTGATGTCACTGTATTTATTGGTAACTGAACATTTTCCGTTTGCCTTTGTTGGCTTACTAAATTATTGACGTATTCAGCGTTTGTATTTGAATCATCTGCAAGTACTTCGGCTGAATCAGCGATTATTTTTCGTAATTCATTCATAGCGAAACCCAGAGGGGTTCACTATTTATAACACAAATTTTCACTATTTGTTAAAAATCACTAACAATTAATTAATTGAAAAGAAAACGTAAATTTTAAAGTAGTTTATTCAACTATTTCACAACACTATAATGTCTGCCGCATGCGTCACAAGTATAATGCACGAACACTGTTACGCAACTAACCTGTATTTACAATTAAATATTTAGAACGATGCTACTCGGTTGAGTGTCAAACGTTAACTGATGCGCGTATGAGAGCGACATGTTCGTGAACCGTGCGTTATGCCTGCTCGAGTCCTTTCGGTTTGAGACGTCCCGTTGCATGCAATTCGGATATTCATAGGATATCGCGATATTAGGAGATTGTGAGGACAAGAGGGATATTCCCTGGCATGTCTTGTGCTCTCTGGGTATATATATATATATATATATATATATATATATATATATGTGTGTGTGTGTGTGTGTGTGTGAGTGCGTTTTTGAGGACGATATATCAAGCAAAGAAAAGGCAAAGATTTATAAAATAATCTTTAATTCCAAACGTTTCGACATTCAATTTAATGTCATCATCAGTGGATATTAAACATGGTATTTTATATCTAAAAATGTGTACACATCACAGAATTTTTCACTACCATTGATACAACTAACCAGTCGTTAATCATGAATTTTTTTGATAAGAAAAATAATAAACTTTTGCTTCGGGATTTGCAACGATTGCATAGCCTCCGGTCTGTGCAAAAATACTTAAAATTTTTTTTCCACAGTTTTGCAAAACAAAACTCTCATTATTTTTTTTATTAAAAAAAATCATGATTATGGACTGCTTAGTTGTATCAATGTTAGTGCAAAATTCTGCAAAAATGCATAATGTGCAAAATTGAATGTCGAAACGTTTGGAATTGAAGATTATTTTATGAATCTTTACCTTTTCTTTGTTTGATGTATTGCCCTCAAGAACTCACTCATATATTTCAACATCAAAATTAACTACTAAATCATATATATATACATATATATATATATATATATATATATATATATATATATCCATATTAATCAAGTCAAATATTTCGCATTTTGAAATCCAAAAATACAGTGAAGATTACTTGCAAGCAACATCTGTACAAGTTAAGTTTACGTTTTATGTCGTCACACTATCGGCTGTGTATTGTCCACCACGGCATATAATAAATTGCTCGCAGTTTTGTGCATTTTTCTCAACTCTAGGACCCAAATTTGTCGTTGGAGGTGATTTTAACAGCAAGCACTCTTTTTGGGGCTCCAGATTGATCAACCCTAAAGGTAGACAATTATATGAAGCAATCCATCAATGTAACTTCAAAGCTCTTTCTACAGGCAGTCCAACTTATTGGCCTACAGACACAAATAAAAAACCCGATTTGTTAGACTTTTTTGTTTTGAATGGCATTAATACCAATTTCGCTGAAATTGAAGCAAGTTATGATCTGTCTTCTGACCACTCTCCCATAATAGCTAGTATATGTTAATCAGTAATTAACATTCCTCATACTTCAAAACTTCACTCAACAAAAACTAATTGGGAGACTTATCGCAGAATTGTGGAAGAAAAAATCAACTTACAAATAAGGCTTAAAAACCCTTCGGATATCGATAGTGCAATTGACTTCTTTAACAAAATTCTGCATGATGCTGCTGTTTTTGCTACACCTATAATGAATGACGTGAAGTACCAATCTACTTCTCTTGAAATAAAAACGCTTATTGCTGAAAAGCGAAAAGCTAGAAAAACATGGCATACTTCCCACTTACCTTCCGATAAAAACATCTTAAATAATCTCAGCAATAAGCTTAAAGCCAGGTTGAAAGAATTAAACAATACAAATTTTACCAATTACATTACCAATCTTAATCGCTTTGATAACTCTATTTGGAGGCATATCAAGAACAAACTTAAGCCATGCAGTAGAATTCCACCAGTGCGCTTTTCTTTGTTTGATGTATCGCCCTCAAGAACTCACTCATATATTTCAACATCATACTAAATCTACATAGATATATAGAGATTATTATATATATAGATATATATATAGTATGTATAATATATATATATATATATATATACAGTATATATATAAATATATATATATATAGGATATATATATATTTATACTTAATAATATATATATATATTATATTATATTATAATATATTATATATATATATATATATTATATCTATATATTCTTATATATAAAAATGGAGCTCTCTTTCAAATGTCCGAATAAAACTCGAAAACGGCTGAATCGATTTGGCCAGTCTTAGTCTTGAAAAATTCGTGCCAATCCAGAGAAAGTCCAAAAGGTGAGAAATTATTTCAAATCCGCGTAGAAACTTTACATTTTTAATTTGAAATTTTTTGTAGAAGCGTAATTTAAATAAAACAATGGACGGTGGCAATTACGTGAAATGTCAAACGCTTTTGACAGATGGTGTTCAATTACGTTTAATATGATGTTTTACGCAAATATTATTTAATTATGATAAATTTGTAGTAAGTAGTTTTATGTGTAGTTTTATTTATATACAAAACCGTTAGTAAACGGGCCGCAAGTGTTACTAGAGACTCAAAATATAAACTTTTTTGATATGTTAATATGAAAATGCACTTTTTGGCTTATTTTTCTTAAACACGGTGCTCTGAAAGATCTCATTTGTATAATTATATACTCATTGGTATTTATAAAACATTTTCTAGGTTATATTATTTTTTATTTATGGTATTTAAATTCAGAACCTAAATTTGGTATCGATCAAATGGACACTTTATCGAATAACATTTTCCCAGTCAAAATCACAATTCTACAATGATGAAGTAGAAGGCAGTTTACTGAACGTAGTCAGATAATTGTTCTTTTGATATGTGTTATTTGTTGTGATATAATTGTTATGGTTCTCACAATATAGTTTATATTTGCTCAAAGTCAAATTGGACCTTTGTGCCTCGCCCTGCTCTACATACATACTTTTTATTTAATTTATTTTAATTCATCGAATGCTACTTGAAACTTTTCAAAAAGCAGCTCAAAAAAGAAATACTTAATTCATTTTCTATCTCTCCTCGCAAAAATTTGAAAATTGTGTATAAGCTCAGTAGTATTATTTACAATTATACACAAAATCCAGAATCCAAAAAGAATCTGAATAACTTGAAACGTAATCAATAAGTCGAAAGACCAATAAAGACTTGGATGGATTATACTATGTTTTCTAAAGAAAGTGTATAAATCTTACAGTTTGATTGTATTGACAAAATATAGACAAACTAATAAGGTTTATTGTTTTTATAATACATCATTGTATTATATTGCATTAAAACAACTCATCCTTATACACTTAAAGTATTAATATTTTTGATTCTCTAGTAATTCTTTAGAATATACCTCACTTAGCAAAACAGCGTTTGCCGGGTCAGCTAGTATATATATATATATATATATATATATATATTTATATATATAAAGCGAGAGGTTTTTCTTCAGATGGTGAAATAATATAATAAAATTGTTTCTTGGGCATCCATCCAGTAATTAAAAAACAGTTTTATTGAAAAATGTGTTTATTTAGAGAACATACGTTTCGGGTCCTGATTTGACCCATCATAACTCGACGTTTTATCAATTTTTTATTTCATATTTATTTTTTCGTGCAATTTTTGTGCGTTTTTGTGTTATTTTTCAAAGTTTATTTGTATTCACTGAAGATGGGTCAAATCAGGACCCGAAACGTATGTTCTCTAAATAAAAACATTTTTCAATAAAACTGTTTTTTAATTACTGGATAGATGCCCAAGAATCAATTTTATTATATATATATATATATATATATATATATATATATATATATATATATATTATATTTATATATAATATATATAATATATATATAAATATAATATATATATCTATATATGTATATATATATATTATATATATATATATATATACATGTGTATATATTTATATTATTACCAAAAATGTTTTTAGGGCTATCGTTGATCACGTGAAAAGTTTAGATGTTTCACGGCCAGTAACAATAGCATTGTCGAGGGCAGTCGATGAAGATAAAGTTGTAAGTATTATTATATATATAGATACATGTTTCTTTTAAAACGTAATTGATGTTATCTTATTCTCCTATGAATGTAATATAATGGTTGGCCAATGTATTGTTCATCACAATTTTTAGTACTATTTTCCGTTCAGTTAAAAATAATAATTATTGTTTTTCGAATTACTATTTACACTAAACATTACACGAGGCCAACAAATAAACTTGTTAACTTGAATGATTGCGCAATTAAAATAATCGTAAAATGCTTATGTCTACTCGATGTACCAGTCTGTGAAGTTGCGCAAAAAAACATTCCACAGACGCTACAGAATACATGTGCAAGTCACAGGTTGCGCAATTATACAGTTACGTCTGTGGCCAGCTTAACATTCCACAACCGTCAGACGCATGCACAGACTGCATCACCCTTATAATAATGTGGACATTATATTTTTCTTATTGATAATCATAAATATATTATTATTTAATATTATATTAGCCCATAAGTGATTTGAAATGTTTGGTAAATGACAGTCTTCATTTGTTTGTAATGTCAAACAATGCCTCAAATATTTTCAAAGTCAAACAATGATAAGCGGTTTTTTTGTAATTTTTTCGATTTATTTCTACATTCTTACTATGTTTCTATGAATCAAAAAATCCTTAAAAAATCCCTTAACAAACTTCAGAGATATTTATCAAAATCTGAGTAATTGTTTAGAAGGATTATTCTTTTATACGCCATTACAGAAGAATTATATACTTATACTAGATGACCCGACAGACGTTGTCCTGTACCCACCTCTACGTTCTTTTAATATCCTATACTAATATTTATACCGTTCAGTTAAAAATAATCATTATTGTTTTTCGAGTTACTATTTACACCAATATATGCGTGATGTTAAATGTAGTACTGTTTCAAATAAAATGATTATTCTCAATTCCCACAGTTGACACTTTAATTGTCCCTTTAACAAATATTAAAACATGTTCAATAAAATTATATATTAAAAATTACACACTGCTATTTATAGAACAAATTTATTTCCAATAGCTCAATTTACTTTATTGAATTTAAGGGTTATACAATATTTTTAGACATACCTGTAGATGTGGATGTTTAAATGAATGATTTTTTGTTCATTCACGGCTAAAACATTGATTTTCCAAATTTATCACCACGTATTTATTGTCATAGCATAGATACACGTGTTGAAAATTGAAATCTTTTAAAAAGTATAACAAATTCAGAAAGAATTAATATATAGCATGCGGTCAAGGTACAATATCACCTTGGATTTTTCTACCCAAAATAATTGCTTCAATAATGTTGCCTACAATTTTTATAATTTCGTACCATATTTTAACTGGCTTTTCGTATTTCAATATCTAAATTGCATTTTTCACACTAATAATTCAATATACATTATTACTTAAGTTCATATTTGAAGTGAATTAATTTGTCAAATTTTGTTCACATGTGCTCTATTCAACCTACTATCAACAAAATTATTGCAGTAAATGGAGAGGAAAAAAGCGTATGCCCAGCTAATCTTTATCTAAAGTTCTGAAGTGAAAACAATTTGCATTTCGTCACCACCCCCCGCATTAATTGGATTATAACTCTTAATTCTGATTTTATCATAACTTGTAATATACTATTTTAAAGGTGATTGATGAGTGAGCTACAACTTTCTCTATTATAAATTTTACCGTAACTTCTCTTATTTTGAAACGGCGAAGGGTTAAAGGGCTCGAAAGACACTCCGGTTGGACAGCCGCGCAATCTTTAAACAATTAGAACTCTATCAATATTTGTGTAACAAAAAAATAATAAAAAGCAATAATAAGTCTGAAAAATACCTTGAATTTGCATATATATATACTTTAATACGTATTCTTTCAGAGATATTATAATGAGAAATTGTTTTTTTTTTAAATGGATTTTTTTATGAAATCATGAGTTTTTTGAAAATCGTTTGTACTAATGTTATGGTATTTTCTATAATCCATCAAGATCTCTCAAACCAAGTTAATTCTAGATGGAAAACGATTATTTTTAATTTTGGTGGAAATGGCACTCATAAACTATTTGATTTGAACGAAAAAAAAACATTATATGCGTCTTTTAATTGCATGATAGCTCACTCATTTTACACGCAGAAGTACTTCTTTTAAAGCTTATTTGGAGAACTATAAAAACCCATTTTCATAATTAACTTAATATTGTTCCTACATGTAAGCAATTTATTAGGATTTTATTATATAATTTTGTTCATTACAAATTTTGTAAAATATTTTTGGAGAATAATATACGCAAAAAAGAAACAAATTTTCAGTAGCCAGTAACTTGAAAAGTATTTGCTTTTTTGAAAAACATTATTGAACATTTTTCTCTTGTAATTAGTTCTTTTATCCACACCCAACGTTATTACACCACTGAAAAGAAATGGCATCCCCCCGGGTAGTGGCAGAGGAGTCTAAATTGTTTTTACTTTCGAACTTGAAAGTAAGATGAGCCTAATTCCAAAATTCCAAACGAATTGGAAAACAGTAAAAAAAAGTTCAGACCCAAAGCGCTCCATTGAGTAAATATTCCGTACAAAATGCCAACCATATGAATTTTTGACACAATGAAACTTCTAAATAATTTTTTTTGTTTTGTGACTTAGTATAGTAAGGCAAAACAATCGCAAATTGAATATTTTTGAGCGCAATCACTTATGGCTAGTCTCCTTTGCACGAATTCGTACGGCGAATCTGTTCGCAAAGTGCGCAAACAAAATGATTGCAAGCAAAAGCAAACCACGCGTACGTTGAAAACACGATTAGGCGTGCGCGTCAGTCGCATGCGCAGACTGTCAGACGCATGTTATATTATTTTCATCTTATATTATTTTAATTATGGCACATCTCAGCTGCTTTTCGACAATAATAATGTAAACATTACATTTTCTTTATTTTTAATCATGAATTTGTTATATTTTAATATTGCCTTAGCCTATAAATGAATAGAAATGTTTGGCAAATGACAGTTGTCATTTGTTTTTAATGTCAAACAATGCTTTAAATATTTTAAAGGTCAACCAATGATAAGCGGTTTTTTGTAATTTTTTCCATTTATTTCTACAATCTAACTATATTTCTATGAATCAAAACATTCTAGACAATTTCCCGAACAAACTTCAGGAAGATTCATGAAAATCCGAATTATAGTTTAAGAGAATTAATGAAACTTACATTGTTACAGAAGAATTTTATATATAAGATATATATATATATATATATATATATAAATATATATATATATATATATATATATATATATATATATATATATATATATATATATATATATATATATGCATATATATATATATATATATATATATATATATATATATATATAAATACGAGACTAGCTAACCCGGTAAACGTTGTTTCGCTAATTTAGGTATATTCTAAACAATTTCTAGAGAATCAAAAATATATTAATACTTCTAGTAAAGTGTTGTTTGAATGCTATATACAATAAAGTATTATAGAAACAATAAACAATAAACCATTAGTTTGTCTATATTTTGTCAATACAATCAAACTGGAAGTTTTATACACTTTGAACTGTAATAACAATTCGAATCATTATTTTGTTTAATAATTACAAAACGCGTTGCTACGCGATCCAGAACATACATCCAAATACATTACCACCAGCTAGGACAATTCATGGTGGCTTAGCGGTTTTTTCCCTCGTAGCGCTGAGGAATTTTCTGACGGAGACATCAAGTTCAATAGCTGCCGCAGCTTGATAAACCGAACGACCATTCGCAGCACAAACTAAGGGATGGTGGTGCCTACCGAAGAACTTTAGAACGAACGCGAGACTACGACTAACTTGGACATAACTATCTCATCGGATTCAAGTAAGCAAATCGAAATTTGATCGTATCTCAAGATGGAACTCATTTTTGAAGAAGCTAGAAAAGGTAAAGATAATAGTATAGAAATAAATAAATTTAGAATTCAGTTAGCAATTAGCACTATACCCGAATTCAATGGCAATTCAGATGACCTCTTTAAATTTTTAAGTACTGTAGACTCAATTTTAGATGACGTGGATTTTGAGACGTACAAATTTATATCAAAAATTGTTATTTGTAAATTAAGTGGAACGGCTTTTGATTGCATTAGACGGGCTGATTATCAGTTATGGAATAATATCAAACCTATTCTAATTAAACGTTTTAAAAATAGAAGGTCCATCGCTGAGTTACATCACGAGCTAGCAACAACAACAAGAAAAAATGGGGAATCGATTGAGGAATTTGCAGAGAAACTTGAGAGTTTGCTTACGTTAATAAACAACAAATGCTATTTTACACAAAATGAAATAACGTATCCATCATATTGTGACTTGGCTTTGGAAGTTTTTGTTAAAGGCCTACCATTGGACTTGAAAATTATAGTTAAAGCAGCCAAACCGGAAAATTTGAAAGATGCTATGCACATTGCTGCAAAGGAAGAAAAATATTTAAACATCAGATCTGATAAAAAATACAATCCATTTGTCACTTGCAGATACTGCAAGAAAAGGGGACACCACATTAACCAATGTCGAAAACTTACAAATAGGAAAAGAGATGACAAACTTAGAATCTACAATGGTGGAAATGACGATAGAATGGACTACGAAAGTAATAAGGATCTGAAATACACAAAAACATATGATGATACATACAAGGCATTCATAACAACTAAAGAAGAGTCCCAAGAGTCCGAAGAATCCGAAGAATCCGAAGAACAAGAAGAATACAAAGAAGAAAGTTTGACTCACAACACCAAAATAGAAGAGTTGACGACAATCGCTGCAAATTCATACGAAGAAGAAAAGGATCTATATGTGGCCGAAGATATGGAACAAACCATACGTGCAAATTCATACGAGGAAGAAAAGAATCTATATGAGGCAGAAGATATGGAACAAACCATACGAACAAATTCATACGAAGAAGAAA